AGTGCAATATAACCTGTATTCGGGAATTTCTTTACTCGAGTTATCATCGATCTCAATCTTTGCAAGTCATAACCGATTCACATGTAAGCATCAAACCGAAACCAGTACAACACATAATAATGAAATCAAGTTGTCAATAGCAGGTTCCCCCACTTGGCTCAAAGCCATAGAACAAAACATTACATAACTCACAATATCCTTACTCTATTACTGTCATAATACTGCAGCCAGTTCAACGAAAATTCTTCACAAGCTCAGGTAACATAAACCACAAAATTCCTCAATTCATCCGCTAAGCTCGCTTTCATTCTCGTGACAGTCAAGTCAACTTTCTCAACCAGATTCAAATTCAAATATCAACATATACACTCCGCTGGTAGAAAATAAACTCTTCACTCAACATTATAAGGAACACACCTATGTAGATTACTCTACAGAAGATAACCCACCTGCTTAGTCTCAGATTGACATCTTGTTATACCCTTTCGCAACCACAATTACTACACAATAACTTACTCTTTCTGAGTCCAAACTCATTAACAAGACATGAGAATTTAATTTGTCCCACAATTTTATAACGTGAAAGATCCTTCAATACACTCATAATTCAAGACTATACGTCAAATCAAGACAAAAAATCAAGTACCCAATAGCAAAATCCTGAGTCACAAGTAACTTTATTCGTCATATTCAACCCATTTGAACACATCCCGCAATCACATCATACTTATCATATAGCCATGCAACCTCTCATCGAGCCATAATTTCCACTCATAGGGATAGTACCGGACATATGAGTCCAAATGTACAAGTTTACACAACTGAAGCTACCGAGCTTAAGCAGCAGTCTAACCCTGGCTTCAAGTCCTCCAGACTTGCCCATCACCAAAACACAGAATACATATCACGAATCTCGTTCATGGAAATCACAAGCTGGTGATGCACAACTGACACTGAGCGCTCACATGCGCACACGAATGCGTGGAATAAATTCAAAGAATTATGTTTCAAGTTGAATCAATTCCGCACGATAGAATACAAGAAAGTAAAATTTTCCTAAGGGTTCGGCAGCCTCTCGAAGATAAGTATAGACGTCTCCGTACCAATCTGCAAGACTCTACTAAACTTGCTCATGACTCGTGAGACCTATGCAACCTAGAGCTCTGATACCAACTTGTCACGACCCAAATTCTCATCTGTCGTGATGACGCCTATCTCAATATTAGTCAAGCCGACAATCTCAATAAACCACCATATCTTTTAAATTTAAAAAAAAACATAATTATTAAATTCAGCGAAAGAAAACTTCACAACACATATATAAATACTCTCAAAACTCGGTGTCACTGACATGAGCATCTAATATGAATACAACGTCTAACTGATAAAAACATCGTCTGATAGTATAAAACAGTACAATAACTGAGAGAAAGAGAGAGTCAAGGTCAGCGGACGACAGGTAGCTACCTTGATAGTCTCCAACGGATAACACTCTGAGATCTAACAGTCGCCATATCCGAAAGCACCTGGATCTGCACACGAGGTGCAGAGTGTAGTATGAGTACAACCAACTCAATAAGTAACAAGACTAACCTCTGGGCTGAAAGTAGTGACGAGCTCCGCAGGTACAGTCCAGTATAAATATGGTACAAAAATATAGGCATGTTTTCAAGCTCAACAGTTAAACCCAATACAAGTGAAATAGACCAATACTGCATGATATGAGGAATATGACATCTCAGTAGAAAAGACCTCAGGTAAATACTGGTCACAAATTATTCGGTCACTCAGTACTAGTTACGGCCAATACAGCCCAGGGATATTCCATCCCGTATATATATACACATCGACTGACAGTCAGTTACTCAATATCGTATAAGGCTAATCCAGCCCTGGGGTAATGTATCCCCAAATATAAATGATTCGGCTAAGATCCATGTCCAGGAAAATTTCATCACAATATATATAAATAATCAAGGCAAGTCCATGCCCTGGGAAGTCCATCTCGAATATATAATCATCAACACTCACTGAGGTGTGTACAGACTCCGGAAGGGCTCCTTCAGTCCAAGTGCTATAATAAGACGATATGGCCTACTGCGGCATGCAATCCGATCCAATAATAATAATAAAGCCTATAAGGCATGCTGCTGGCGGGCAGCCCCGATCCACATAATAATAAAGCCTATAAGGCCTGCTGCAGGCGGGCAGCCCTGATCCAGAACAATTAAGCCTATAAGGCCTGCTGCGGCTTGTAGCCCGATCTCATAATAATAATAATATATATAGAGCCAATATGGCCTGCTGCGGCGCACATCTCGATCCCATAAATATCCTCACAATGGATAATATGACTGAGTGTGAAATGTACATTTTTAAAACAAATAATTTATCAGCAACACGACCCCATGGGTCCAAAATATCGGTACGTAGCCTAAATATGATCTTTAATAAGAGCCTCAGCTCAATTCCTCTAGCGCATGAGAAATGTTCAAATTATAACATGATTCTTTAATTTACAACTTCACAGAATTTATTCAAGTCACAATTTCAATGGTGCATGTCCACACGTTCGTCAACTATCGCGTGCGTCACCTCAAAACAATTTATATAATGTAAATTCGGGGATTCATACCCTCACAACCAAGTTTAGAAGTATTACTTACCTCAATCACGTTATCTCAATCCAATAGTATAACTTTTTCCTCGATTATGCAACTCCGAATGGTTCAAATCTAACCACAATAAGTTCGATACAAACAACACAAGTTATCGAAAATCAATTCCAAATGATAAAGGGTGGATCTTTAATTAAAAACCCTAAAGCCAATCATACTTGAAACTTATGGGGACATTATGGAATTCGATTCTAAGAGAGAAAATTTAGTCAACACACCTGAAATGCGCCCCCTTAATGATACCACAACAATCAATTACACTAAGTAACTTCAATCTACAATATCAACATCCCATGGGACCGACATTTGTAACAATTCCATAGTTTATGCTATTTAGACAATTTATCAAACAACTGGTAGGCATAAATTTCTACATCTCTTAACAATAGAATTAGTTCATCCAATTACCACTATTTTCCAAAAATTTATCCCACCATCTTTCTTTAATAATTTATATTCCCAACATTACATGTGTGACTAATCATTCACACCCAACCAACAAAATTTCATCAAATAATCACTTTTCAATCTCTACAATGGTTATGCATTTAAATTGGGAATTTATGGCTTCCAATCACCATACCATGAGTTCTAATATTTGATTCATACTCATATTTCCATAATAAATCCGTGAATGTAAGTTTAAAGGTGTAGGATTACCTTTTTGGAAGAAATCTTGCAAAACCCTCCCTTGAGTTCTTGAAGAAATTTTTTAAAGATCTAAATATTTTATGTGTAGATTTTATCAATATTAGTGTAGAAATGATAGAATTTCACACCAAGATAATGGGGATTGCTTACCTTGAAGAAGAGAGGAGTTGGTGGTCTTGAGAGAGTGGAGGAAAATCCTAAAATTCGTCCAAGATGAATGGGGGAAATCAACCCCCGAAATGAGTACTTAAAAGAAAAGCTTCAGGTGGTAGCGTGCCAGGTCCAGTGCCAAACCTCTATAATGCACTGGTTTTCAAAGTTGTTGAGAGGGCTGGTGTGCCACAATCCACGCGTTGCACTGACTCTAGCACGCTCCCAGTGATTTTCTTTTCCATTTCTTGCTTCTCTGCTCACCCTCACTTGATACCTTGCTATGATATATATCCGAATTGACTATAAATTTTGCACAAATGTCTCATTTGACATTACGGACCTACTCCAACTTATGGAATCGAAATCCGACCCGATATCAAAAAGTCCACTCCCGGTCAAGCTTCCCAAAAATTCAACTTTCACTATTTCAAGCCTAATTCCACTACGGACCTCCAAATCACAATCCGGACATGTTCCTAAGTCAAAAATCACCCAACGGAGGTAACAGAACCATTAAAATTCAAATCCGGGGTCGTTTACACATAATTCAACATGTGTCTCAATTCATTTCAAAAATCTCACCGGACCCGAACCCATTACTCCAGCAACTCATATTACAATTGTAAAGTACAAATTGAGCAGTAAATAGGAGAACATGGTTGTAATACTCAAAACGACCGGTCGGATCGTTACAAAACCTAAATTGAATCCTAAACTTAAACAAAGACAAGACACACCATAAGTAACATTGGTATAAAAGAATTTTAAATATAGAATGCTAAACAAAAGAAAAGATAATACACCACGATTCTTGGAGGAAATCCTAAATCTATAAAGAATCCTAAAAAAAGAAAACAATAATATACGGCAACTTTTGATTTTTTCCCCAAAAAATATTATTAGATATAATTACAATTATATCCAATGTAAAATGCACTTAAGAGGTAAAAAAGACGAACGACATTTCGATAGGAGTTTCGTGCTTTTAATATAGTATATAGATATATAGATATAGATTAAATCTATACCATTAGTTTTAAAATATGACAAGTGTCTCTCATCCAAGTAAAAACTTTTGAAAAAGGGAGAGAAAGGAAATGGAGGGGAGTTCCATTCCTAATAATCTCCCTAAAACTTTTTTCTTGAATGTAGCCCTTTGAAAATAAAGGGAAAAATAAATCTCCTTCAGCATTAATTTTGTCGAATTTAGCTCCCTATGCATTTTTTCATACAAAAGATTGAAAATAAGTACAAGCATACAATATAATAAGAAAGTACCCTCGATCCAAAAATAATATTTTAGTTACGACATACTACTAATTATGATAATAACTCATATCGAATTCGTCAATTATAAGTGGGGCACTTTAATCATTCATCCGTAAATGCTTAGCGCGAGGATCTTAGAAACTTGTAGAAATATTTTCTCACATTGCGGCCTTCCTTCCCGGAAGCCTTTCGCCCCCCTGCCTCTAGCAAGAGACATTTTCTCCACACAAAAAGAAAAAGTTAGACAAATAATAAACAAAAAACTAATGTCTAAACTTCCTTCTTTCTTCAACCAAATAACACTAACTACCTTTTTCTCGCAAAATTTCTCCAAAATTCCCAGTCCACAGCCAATTAATCTCTTTCAAACTCCCAGGCATTATTTCAATTCAATATTGTTATTACCAAATGCCAACCCCATTTAATCAAGCTAGGCATTGACATGCCTGCAAATGGCACATATCTTAATGAAAATCTGAGTATAATTTTTCTCTTATAAGGTGACATGCATGTTGTTTACAATTCCTGTGGAGATCTGCTAAAATAATACAATCATATTCAACGTTCGATGTATATGAGTGCCTCATCAACCTAGACATTCACGTATAGCTTACAAAGAAATATTTATTCCATGAGTTCCATCACCTTTAAATTTTGCTTTTATTCAGTTGATGAATTGAGATGTTGGGCAAAAAGAATATTCTAAAACATGGCTTATCATGCTACCACAAGGGCACAATCATCTTCTTCTTCTCAACCGCCTGTCGTACAAAAACTAACAGATGATCCTGTAAACCCTAAGAATGCGCAAAGTAGCGTTACGTGTGTGTACCAATCTCATATTGGAGGTTATTGGCGTAACGTGACTGTTATATGGAGCAAGAATCTTATGAACCATTCCGTGACCCTAACGGTCGATAGCGTGGAAAGTGATTATCATCAAACATGCAAGATTGATCTTAAACCTTGGCATTTTTGGGCCAAAAAAGGATACAAAACTTTTGAGGTTGATGGGAATCAATTGGAAGCTTATTGGGATCTAAGATCAGCAAAATTTTCTGGAAGTCCAGAACCATGTTCGGATTTTTACGTTGCCTTAGTTTCTGAGGAAGAGGTTGTTTTATTATTAGGTGATTACAAGAAAAAAGCCTACAAGAAAACTAAATCAAGGCCAGCTCTTGTGGATGCTTTATTGTTTTATAAGAAAGAACATGTTTTTGGTAAGAAAAGTTTCTCAACAAGAGCTAAATTTGATCAAAGGAAGCAAGAAAGTGATATTGTTGTAGAAAGCTCAACTTCAGGTCTTAGAGATCCTGAAATGTGGATAAGTATAGATGGGATTGTTTTGATTCACATAAAAAACTTGCAGTGGAAATTCAGGGGAAACGAAACGGTGTTAGTGAACAAACAACCGGTGCAAGTCTTTTGGGACGTGCACGCTTGGTTGTTTTGTTCACCAGGGTCGGGTCATGGCCTGTTTATTTTCAAGCCAGGAGCGTCTGAGGACGACAGTGACAGGGAAGAGAGTAGTGTGGGCGGTGGCAGTGATTGCAGTGATCATAGCAAGTATTATTCGACGTTAAGCTACTCTAAAGCTTCACCATTTTGCCTCTTCTTATATGCATGGAAAATTGAGTAAGGACTAACAGTTGTTAAGTGGTATAAACTGTAAGAATTTAAGAGATTCCAGTTCCAAAGAAATTGTAACTGGACAAGTGAATGATTTGTGGAGATCAGCAGAGTAAGTTTTTGGGGGTGTTTTTTACTCCAAATTAATATTTGTGAATTTTGTGAAAATGTTGTATTCTACATAACTCTATATTCTTTTTTCACCTCGCCGGATGCAGGAGAGAAGGGACACACTCTCATATATGTATATTTGGACAAATTTAAGAGATTTATATTTATGTTTTGCCCGCACCAATTGTTATTGAGAAACTAATGAGTTTAGTGGTATTTCGCATTCACTAAATTAAAATCTTGTGAGCTCTGCTTTTCACTTCTTCTTGATGCTTGACCCAATTTTTCTCTTTTAAAAGTTACTCCTAATTGAGTAGTTAGACAAACGTAAAAGGTAAAAACGAGGAAAACAGTTTCTCATGAGTAGTTATAGAGTTCATTGTTTAGCATTTTAATTGAGCTAGATTAAGAGTAAAGCATCAGTAAGTTTAGTCAAAACTATAAATAGTCATATCTGATACATATCTGATGCAAAATAGTGAGAAGAAGAGCAATGACTGCGTAAGCTTTGCAATACAATGAGAAAAAGGAAAAAATAACGCAGAAGGTGGAAGACGATGAACGGAAAAGGTAGCAAGGAACCTTGTAGATGTTATCATCCTTCACATAATATCTCATAACAATTTTATGATGGAAATAATGCATGAACGGACGAGATTATTTCACTATTGAATATAAATTTAGTGGCCAACATGAATTTGACGACACAGATTATTGTAACTCTTAACACAATAATTTTAGGAATGAGTCATGAAATACATATCTGATGCAAAAGGTTGTTCTAGTAATAAGGATGAACAAGGAAACTTGTTGATATTCTCTTCCTTCGCATAACAATACCTTATAACAATTTTTTGATGAAAAGAATGGATGAGTGGACTAGATTATTTCACTATTAATTCTTTATGGATGAACTTCAAAGGGTTGTCGCTCCATTTCTTCATGCATTTGGGGGTGGGGTGGGGGTGTGGGAGGATGTCTGGGTCTGAAGGAAACCTGGGGGTAGGGACTAGGGAGTTACGGATATTCATTCCTAAACTATGTCACCGATTGGTGACCTGATCCCGCTAAGCAAGAACTACTATCTTAACGACTCTATCTTAACGACCGGTTTGCCCCTAGCTGCCTATTGTAGGAGTTCCTGACATGAAAGGACACCAGCAAGCTGCTACTGAATGTGAACAAAGTTACAGATCATTGTAAACTCCTAACATGTGTATCTTAAAAACAATTAATCTCATGAAGATGAAACTGAGCAGCACTAATGAAGGGGAAAACGCCTAAAATCAAGACAGAGCATGAGAATCTTGATAGACATATGTTTCAGAATGTTTAAGAATTGGAAACTTGCTCTATTAGTGATCTATGGCTAAAGCTAAACTTCAAAGTGGGACTTCAATTACTTCATTTGCTCTTACGTACATATGCCTCCTACAGATCCATGCAATTTGGCCATTGTCTCGGTACCTAACTCTCCATAATCCAAACTTTTCAGCAATATCTCTTCCACCAGCGCACCTTTGATCCCTCAAGAAATCAACAACCCATTGTTGTGCTGCTTTAAGATCTTGTTGGATGTCCCTTGAACCCCTATTTCTCTCCACACGTCCTGCTGCTGCAACTCCAACAACACCAGCAGCTGCAGCCCCCGCTGCACTATATGCAGCGGGAGACTCAAGCAGATGTGCGACTTCTCTACTCAAATCTGGTATCATTTCTCCCATCCCTGCCGCTAAATGAGCTCCAATCTTGAGAGCAAATGTGACCAATTTCATGAACTTCTTCATGTATGGAGCTAGGCATTTCACTGCCCTGTTATCAACTTGCATCACTTCACAACCTATCTGATCTTCAACCACATGCATTTCTCCCCGATACTCGCATAACATGTGCAACCGGAGAGCATTCATTCCTGAAATCATGGTGGTGATCAGTCTCCTTGAGTAATTCTCGGTTCTTGAAAAATAGAACATGTTTGGCACTTTTCTTTCTTCAACTTGAACATTGTAGTTCACAAGGTAGTTCACTTTGCAGTTTAGCTCGATAAGAAGCCTGTGCTCGTAGTATCTGAGGCCTTGGATTTCTTGTTTTATATCCCTAAGTTCTTGCTGTATAATTGTAAGTCTCTGCAGAACTTCTTCAACACCCTTGGCTATTCCAGCAAATGATGGTTCAATTTTTCCTTCAGTTTCTTCACTAGTAGTAGCAGCATGATTCTCTCCATCCTGGTTATTATCCAAAGGAATTTGAAGCTCCCCAGCAAGGTTATGTAGATCATGGTACCTATGTTGAAGGACTTCCCGAAAATCATCATCGGATAAGAGATCCCGAGCATAGTCAAAACCAGCTCCGACGATAGTCCTTCCAGAATCTGTTACCAAATCCCAAGTGTGCTGATAGTCATACATATTGTCTGCCGGCACTGAGAGCAATGCCTGCTTTAATTGCTTGAGAGGCACAAATTGGTTTCTCCTGTACCTTGGTGGTATTAGATTTCTTACACATTCTGGTCGGATAATGTGTTCAGTCAGTGTGACCCCATGGCAAAGGCTCTGGATTGCTGGTATTATAAGCTGCTGGAATAGTCTTAGGGTTTCTGTCAGGTGCTTTGTGGAACAAGCAAGCACATCAATGCAATAGCCTAATTGACCCCCAAGTTCTACGCGGACATAGATGCCATTGATACTCATTGTGATGAGGTACTTTTCAAGGCTATAAGTTGCTCCATATTGGTTCTTCAACCCCATTATTTTGTTGTGCAAATGTACCTAAACAGATATAGTGAATAATATTCTTATCCGAGATGATGGAATAAATAAAAACAAAAGGGCTGTTATTTCATTACCACCGTCATAGGATTCAAGAAATAGAGAATAGAGATAAAAATAGATGAGAGATCTTGCCTGTAAGCGGGGAAAGAAGCCCGGTGTTAGAAACATGTGGCTTGAGTCATCACACTGTAGGTGCCTTCCTGCATAAACGCATTCGCTTGAGTTTATCTGCCACTTTGGTGGTTTTCCCCTACCTTCTTCAAGAAAGCAGGGTATCAACAGTAGTGAATTGGGATCTGAAGGATCTTGTTCATAGCATAATTCAAGTTTCAGCATCATTCTCACAAGGTCACTTGCATCCAAGTTCTCAAAAACTTTTGGGCCTATCCCTGGAATCTGGCTATCAAGACTACTTTTAAGAACTTTTTCCAATTCTTTTCTACTTATGAATCCATCTCCAACTGAAGTCTGCTTTTTGACGTCTATTCTTGTAAGCTGACCAAGTACTTCACCACAAAACCATTCACAGTCTAGGATTAGGAAACCAAGTTCATCAAAATAAATCACCTCGCCAATGTGATGAAGGCACGTAACAGCAGCCTTTCTCCTCATTTCCACCTTCTCTTTATTATCGAGTCTGGAACGAACCCTGAGCAATGGAACCTTGACTTGGCATAGATCACCAAACTCCTTCCACTTTATTGCTGGCTTATTATGGTTTTCCAATCTCCAGTCCGACAAAATTTGCATGAGGTCATCGCAAAGCTCATAGACTCTAGGAACCCTTTGGAGAACCGTCTTGCTTGTCTTTCGGAGGTGATGTGCGAGTTTACTTACTGATGCAGACGATCTTGCATCAACTGTAAATACAGTTGGGTAGAATTCAACAAAGCCTTGAAATTTGTCTCGTAGCCTTTGGATTGAGTTTACAATAAGCTGTAGGTTCTGTGACGGTTGATTGATTTTGTCATAGTGTGTAAGAACCACAGTCACATTAGGAAGCATGCACTGCTGAAGAGCTCTTCTTGAATTGGAAACAATAAACCTCAACCAGTACTGCAAATCTTCTTCAACTTCATCTGGGGTCTTCTCTTCTCGATTATTTGGTTTCCTGAACAAACTAGAGATGACCAGGAAAAGAGCGGCGCTTCCATGTCCTGGGAACATTAGATCATGAAGTGCATAAAATTCTTGCTGCCCGGCAAGATTCCAAATCGAGATCTTTGTGTCTTCATCTTTGAAATTTTTTATCTTCATCCCTATAGGTCTAACAGCTTGCTCAATTGGTTTTACGAGAGTTCTCACCTGGTCAATGTAGGGTAATTTTGAAGAAGAAAAGTGATGATGTACAGAATTGCATAGTGTAGTTTTTCCTGCAGATCCGTAAAAGATTAAAAAAATATATATTATTTACAATCAATGATATAGTTGAATTAACATTACTTTAGTGACTCACCAGCATATTCTTGCCCGCAGAGGAAGACCCTACAGCTCTTTGGCACCGTCATTGGCATGTCTTTGAGCAAATCAATCTCTGGTTCGGCCTTGTCATTCTGACCTAATCTCTGATATATCGCTTCTGTTTTCCCTGCGTTCTGCAGTGGAGTTCTTGAAAGATCAATGTCTTCAATCCAAGGATTTACTTGTAAAACATCCATGATAGTTTGCAAGACTATTTCACCATCCACCCCTTTACAACCTTGTAAAGATATGCTTCTCAATGTAGCATTTTTTTCCAAACTCCTAAAGATTCGAACTATATCATCTTGTCTTAAACTCGCATCATCATATATTCCTAAGCTGGTAAGGCTTTCATTACTTGTCAACATCTGCAGGATTGCTGCAAGCCCATCCCTACCAATTTTGTTTCTTTTTCCTCCAAAAGTTAGTGATTTGAGAGTGACATTTGCTTGATATTGCAGCGCAGAAAACCGGCTTAAAGGGCAAAGTAAATGTTCTACGCCAACACCTCCAAACCAATTTCCATTAAGATACAACTTGTGCAAGCTCTGGTTCTTAAAAAGACCAGCTGCAACATAAACAACTCCTTTGTCTTTCAAGCAAGTGTTTGACAAATTTACCTCTTTGAGGGTCCTGTTCTGTTCCAAAATCCACCGGAATTCCTTCGCCCAACGGGAGTTCAACCGGACTCCTGTCAGATCGAGTGACTTCACAGTTGAATTCATACCTAAAGCACCAGCAACTCTACAAGCACCTGAAACATCAAGGCGATATATCCGAAGAGTGCTGTTTTCAGGTACAAATTCAACCACCTTTGAAGTTTTCTCATTGTTCTGTCCACTCCATATGTGTACTTCCATTGACCTGTTTCTAGCAAGAACTGCTGAAATCAAAGGTGTGGCAGTAATAGACTTGGAATCAAATATAGTGAGTAGCTTCAACGTTGAGTTAACTTCTATCATTTTGGACAGCTCCTCCGCACCCTTTGAGCCAATGGAGTCTTCCCATAATTGTAAATTTTCTAAGCTTCGATTCACCTTAAGTGCTGAAGCAAGAAGCAAAGCTCCAACCGAACCAATATTTGATTCTGACAGCATAATTTCCTTGATCCCTACATTCTTCTTTAAAACTTCCGACAGCTCAGATAAACATTCTACAGTGAGACTGTTTCTCTTAAACACTAATTGGTTAATACTTGAGCTACTTTCGAGCAAGAGCAAACTTCCAAGATTTCTCATTTGCTGCAACTCCCATTCAACCTGGTGGAACTCCAAGTTACTCAAGGAAGCTTGAGTACTTTTTAATGTTGTCAAAAGCACAAGGAGGTCAGACAAGTGGGAAAGACTCTCATTTGATATGTTTATGTTGATGGAGTTCTCGGTTTCTTGATGACAACCTGATGTAGGCTGAGAAAGATGGAAGGAAATACTATGCAGATTGAGACTTGCAGATTTGATCACTTGATAACCCCATTGAAGGTCTCTTAGTTTCTGACTTGCGTCCATTTTCTTCACCTAATAAGCCATTTGAAAATCTCTTAGTTACTAATGTGGTGCCATTCAGCCATTGTACTAACAGGCCATTCACAAGCATTGCTACAATAGTAAAGGCTAAGTCGTCAACAATAAAGGGCAGCGCGGTGCACAAAGCATCCCGCTTTTACGTAGGGTCCGAGGAAGTGTCGCACCCCAAGGGGCTGTGATGTAGGTAGCCTACCCTGAAGCATCTCGAACACATGACCTATAGGTCATAGGAAGACCTAAGTTGCTCGAACACGGGTGTGAGTGTCCGACACAGGTGCAAATATAGAGATCGGATCCTTCGAGATGTAAATTCTAAGATTCGTGGATACGAATCCTAGTATAGATACAGGTGCGGGGATCCGGCTAAACATAATTCAAGAAAATAAAAATATAAAAATATCTCTAAATTATGAGAAATTTTGTGAAATACTTATGTATAGCTTGTAAAGTGTGGAATTCTTTTTTATTCTCAAATTGGAGATAAGTAAATAATAGATTTCCTAGATAAGATATGCTACTTTCTTCAAATTTACCCTAGTTGTAAATAACATGTCCTTATATTCTTGACTTTCCTATTGGGAAAGTGGGGAGATTTCAAGCACAGCAAGCAAAAGGCAAGAAAGTGCTGGACAAATTGAGCTTATTCGAAGGAATTTTTTCTCACAATTGGCACAACTTGGCATGTAATGTGCTCTAAGATATCAACAATACTCTCCACCCTTTATCAAGTTTAAACTTTGAACTTCTTTTTTTCTCTTTTTGCTTTATGCATTCGATATTCAAAACTTACTGGGCTGATTTAAATTTAAATTTGTGCCAGTAGGGCGTGCTAAAGGGGAAGCACTCGCTAAATATTTGTCTGACTCCTTTAGTTTTTTTTTAGCAACTATACCACTCGGCATCACTTGCCTAGTGGCTAATATATAAATAAAATCCCAAGGCTCCTTTAGTTTTAACCTATGCAAGGCATCTTTTTTTTTTCATTTTGAACCTATTTACTAGTAAAACAAAATAATTTTTTTTTTTTTTTGAAAATTGGTGCAAATAAAAGAGTAAGCATTGCATTATCATCACATATGTAATTATGTAAGTAGCATACAAAATGGTTTTTAAGTTCAACATTTAATAAAATGGACGAGTCTTTTCTCGTTTTGTTTTTTCTCTCTAGACTAGATCACTTAACACATACTGCAGTAACTCTTAAGTCTAAATACATCAGTGTCAATAAGTTGTGTACCATAAATGAAAACTAGAAAATGTAGTTACAAACCTGAGATGAAGTAGAAGAAGAAGGCGTATCAATGCCGGACATTGTATTAGCAACAGACGATGAATCACCTGGAACTGAAGACTGCTGCCCTTCTTCTCGGAGCTCAGGCGAAGCTAGAGTATTAAGTACGGGTTTGGACGAACCGACTAATTTTTGCTTAGAACTTGTATTTAACTCATTTTTGTTCTTCTCTGAAACTGACTTTGGTACAAGACAAGAGATTAGTGAAGCTGAAATGAGATGTTTTCTATTTAACCTGTTCTTTGACAAACCTGTCATTTTCCATGAGAGAAATAGTGGGAAAAGGAAAGAGGCAACTTTTTGACAAATTTATACTATTCCGGAAAGGGAAATAAAAAAAGGAAAAAGTGGTTGCTTTTTTTAATCTTCTTTCGGCGGTTTGATGAAGACAGCTAAGAATATTATTTACTTTGTACCGATTGAGAAGCCAAGAATTCTGTTTCTTGATAAAAATGTGTACAAATATATGTAAACTGGCTACGAAAAATAAATAGTTAATCTACCCGGCTATTTTTTAAAAGATCTCTTACCAAAAGGAGATCGATTACCTCCCAAAAAAACTTTTTGCATAAATATGACACTTTTTCGGGTGTTCTTTACTTTTTGACTATCGAATTTCAAGGTCAAAATTAAAAGTATTGCTCATGGGATAAGCGAAAGTATTGCTCATGGGATAAGCGAAAGACAACACTTGTTAAATTTAAAATGTTGTTCATAGGCCAAGTCGAGACAAAAATTGAAGATCATCCACTTTGACGTTTATTTGTGTGCTCCACCAGATCACCTCTACTCCAACATATTTTGGATTAGCCATTTTTTCATGCTAAAATAGAATATAGACAAAAATACCCTTAAAATAAATAAATAAAATCCAGCATAATATGCTGCAGTTCGAGGTTTTTACATACTGAGATTCCAGCATAATACACTGAGAAGCATAATGTGTTGGAGTTCTAACGTAATATGCTGGAAGTTTATACGAAGGAGTTTCACAACCCCACATATTATGCTGAAACTTTCAGTATTTTAGGTAGGGTACTTTTATCCAAATTTTATTTCCACATTAAAAAGTAGCTGTTTTTCAATAATATTATTAATACCGAATATTTTTCAATTGTCATTCTAAAAACTAGCCGGCCCATGCTATTTTGACCTACTACCGTAATAACCCAAGCCGAAAGGGCTTTGGCCCATTTAACAATTTAAAACAAAGGGCCTGCTGACCCGTCAGTTACAATTTACACGACAACATTGAAACGGAAGCCATTGAAGAACAACTTGAAGCTGAAGGCTGTAGCTCTCTTTCTCAAGGTAAGTTGGATCAAACTTTAATCAATTTCTTAATCATTCTTTACAACAAGGAGTAGTAATATTTATTGTGAAAGAGATAACCTTTGGCAATAACAATTGAATAAATACATGAAAGAATAGAAAAACAAACCGAGCACAAAACTTCTAATTAAGTTTCTTGTTTTTTTTTTTGGAATGTATTCCTGTTTGAGAAGTAAAGGAAAGTTGTGACCAATTCCCAGTATTAATTGGAAATTGATGTTAATAAAAAGTCTTCCTTTCTTATAGCAGAACACATAAAGACCAGCTCAGGTTATAAGGGCAGCATTAATTCTGCTTAAGATGGCAGAAACAGTTCATAGGGAGGATAGAATATCGGAATTGCCCGTGCATATCATTCATCGCATCTTACGCCATATAACTAAACTTAACTTGGAAGATGCTGCCCGAACTAGTGTCTTATCCAAGAGATGATACTATTGTTGGACTTCGAGACCTAATCTGGTATTCAATTGATTAAGAGAAAACTCCTCTTGCGATATGTCCCTGGAAGAGTTTGTCAAGTTGGTTGATCAATCCCTACAACACCATATTGAGCAAAAGTTTAGTCTTGAAGAATTCAGCCTTACATATGATGATCCAAATTTGGCTTCTCATATGGATCGTTGGATTGAATTGGCAGTTAAACTAAACGTCAAGGAGCTGGAAATTTCTGATAGTTGGGATTTCGATCAATCATACTATATTTTGCCTGATGTTATTTATGCTGCTAAAAGTCTGACAAAATTGAGGCTAAGCAGGTGCAAGTTTGAATTTGATATTAGCACCACTAACATAAGATTTGGTTTTCTTAAAGATCTTTACTTGAGGAATGTCCATAAGGGCAATTGCAAAGAGTTTTAGACAGATGCCCGTTCATCAGGAATATACAACTTATAAATTGCGAGGGTATAAACAAATTGCATGTTTTTGGCCTAGTACATCTAGAGAATTTGTTCGTTGGGTTGTGCAAACTAGAAGGTGTGATAGTCCAGGCTCCAAATCTTCGAGGCTTTGGATATGACGGAGTGCCTTCTGCAGCCCAAATTTTAGAACGTACTGACGAGGACAATTTTCTTCCTTGCAAATTTGCTATTGTGGATTCTTACAATACTTTGCAGAAACTCAAACTGTATGGTGCTAGCATCACAGACGAGCAGTTTCAAGATCAATTCTCTAAATTCCCTAACATTTCAGAATTGCATCTAGTAAAATGCTATAATCTGAAAAACATAGAGATTGTGAGGGCAAAACGTAAGAAATTCGTCTTATCACAGTGGAGAAATCTAGAACAAGTCAAGATTCGAGCTCCAAATTTGACGGAATTCAATTCTATGGATCATTCCTATTCAAAAGGATTGATATTAGTAATCTTTTCCCATAAGGTAAGAATTTTTTTTGCTCCAAGGGTAAAATAAATTGCAGTTGTTTGCTTTACTTGATATATGCATTCCTTCTTGGATTTTCCTTTAACATATGTCATTGACAAAATTATTGCAGACTAAAAGCATCCTTATTTACGAAGATCCAGGAGAAATTGTTATTCCTCCAAGTGATGATGACAAGATATTCATGGTGCCTATGCTGCGTCTTGAAACAATCATAGATAATTTATTGTCCGAGCGTCCCAATATCATGTCCATACTTCCATGTACAAGTAGCATATTACTGCAGGTAACCGTTCATAATGAGTGATATTAGTAACCAGAAGAATTTTAACCTACTACAACAAGTTAACATACAGTGTTAGTGTATATAATCTAAATCCAAGACATAAACATGCAATAGCCATTTGCTTAATGTAGATTGTTTGTCTCATATTCATTAGTGTATCCTCTATATCTTATGCTTTTATTTGAAATACAGTGGCTGCCTGCGTTAATAGGATGTCCACAGAAGCAAAGTTCTGGTAAGAATGTGCATTTAATACAGAGTGTTTCTATTGGCAGCATGAATTAAAAGAAGTCAGCAATGTTATAGACTCTGCTGAGGATGAAATGGCCACCCTTTGGTATTCTTGGTTGAAATCTGTATCTTTGATTGACCAAGTGACTAATTTCATGTTCAAATGGAAATAACAAGCTTAGCTCAGAGAGTCGAGGCGAATCCAGCATTTAGAGTTTTATCACTTTTATGTTTCAGACCTGGTAGAGAAATTGCCCACAGTAGGATAGCTGCAGCATGACTCGTTTCAATCCGATATTGAAAACTCGAGGGGATGAATTTGGGTCTTTTTAAATTATTGACTTAAATTGATTCTGTTTATTTAAACTGATTCAGTTGATTTTAGGAGATCTTCCTCCCTTGATCTTAAATTCTCTTTCTATAACAACTATTTTTCCCTGTGATTTTCATAGTACAATCCCATCATTACCTTTCTTTAAAAAAAAATACTGTAGTATATCAATTTCAAACTTCAAAAATTTTCATTAGGGGTGTCAAATGGGCGGCTTGAGCTGATTTTGGTAGAAATGACACCGGGTAGTCACTCTAAAGGGTTGATATTTAAGAAATAGCCAGTGCGTCTTGAATTTTAGTTTTGCAGTTTAAATTTTCAGGACAAAAATGTTCTGAATTGTCCTGAAGTTAAAATTTTTTGTTTAAAAATTCAAGACAAAATAAGTGTTGGCTATTTTCTAAATAACATCCCTGAGAATGGCTATCTGTGCACTTGCCCCGCTGGGTCAAGATGGGCTAAAATTTGGACCATAGCCCAACCCGCCCAACTCTTAACAAGCTTTAATTAATGTGTGTCGTTTTCTTATGAATTGTTTAATTATCGTATAAGACTTTTTTTCTTTTGTTATGGTCATATATAACATATCAAACAAGAAGAATTATTTTAAAGATATTTTAGCATAGTTATTCATGGATCAATTTGGGCTAAAATCAAAGTTGGGCTAAGATGGGTTGTGTCAAGATGGATTGAATTCAACAAAGGGAAATCTACTCTAAATGCCTATTCAGGCAATTTTAATTACCCGTTACTGCCCACTCTAATTTGTCTTACAATGTGTACCTATGCAATCTAAAGTATTTACCCAACTACCTATTTTCAAAATTCTTTCCTTTTTAATCCCGGATCATGTGAAACCCCATTAATTGCCCCAACCTATTTTCTCTTTTATTGTCTTCTCAAATATAAATAAATATTTTTCTTCTATCTTTCTCATTTCATAATAGGATCTATGTGTCCATTGAATATTTTTTATTAATTTATTCTCCATTTCAAAATGGTACATAGTATATTATTATAACATATCTAAATTTTGGTATAATCGATGACGCACAAAATTGAGTTAATTAGATTATGTGACAACTGATATTATTTCAGTTTAATAATTGAATTAAAAAAAATATTTTTAAACTCTTTGCGTACAACTGTATACCCTGTTGGTATATCTATATACTATACTGGTATCATATGTTAGTTGGAACCTTTTTTGGTTGTATTAGCTACATTTAATTGGTACATTGTTTGATTTTTCTTTAGTAATAGTAGAATACAATATCTTGAATTTTTTTAATTTTCCTTTATGCATATGTATTATGTAATAATTTTGATTTTTTCTTTATGCGTTTGTTTTATATAATAATATTATAGTACAATATTATTGAATCCTTTTTTGGTTGTATTAGCTGCATTTAATTGGTACACTATTTGATTTTATTTTAATAATAGTAATATAGTACAATATCTTGAAATACTTTATTATATTAATATGTGGTACACTATTTTTTTTATTTTTCTCTTTATGCATGTGTGCTATGTAATAGCAGTATAGTCATATAGTTGCCGAAAATTAACCAGTAAAACTATATACCATGTTGGTATAGTTATGTGCCATATTGGTATCATATGGTAGTTTGAACATTTTTTGGTTGTTTATTCTATTCTGAAATTATTTATATGAACATGATTTGCAGTGCTGGATTTTTTTGTGCCGATGGACATAGATTATGTGTATTATGTAATAGTTTTTATAGTTATAGGCATTTATTGGAATGACCCCATACATCTATGCACCCTGTTAGTATACAGAATGAGCAAGTTGCTTTGCGAATATTTAGCTTGCAATGCGAGCATGTAATTTTCATATACTTTTATTGCATCCTTTAATGTTTTGGTACAATAGTATAGTCGCTGATAGTTGTAGCAATATTCTAGAGAAATCATATACTCTGTTGGTATACATGTATACCATATTGGTATCATATGGTACTAGAAGTCTTTTTTGCTACTTATACTTTAATTGCATTTTTTAATATTTTATTATCATTTTTATTCTAACTAGTATATATGGAGATTGGTGGTCGTAGATTATGTTTTGCTCCATAACTGGTTGTGTTACTGCTAATGGTAGAGTGTACTGATATTTATAGGGAAGGAGATCAAGGGTTGCATGACAATCACCTGGAATTAGAAAAGGAACAAGAAATAAAGAAAAAAAAATAAAAATAAAAAGGAGTCAAATTTGAGTGTGAAATAAGCTGTGGTAGAAATAACAATAATACGATTTGGGCAAAAATAAATGAACAAAAGAGAAAAAAGAAAAGGAGAAAAGAAAAGAAGCATAGAAATAAAAAAGAATTGGAAAAAAAAAGAAGAGAAAATTCCCCACAAAAATAACTATGGGTAGGAAATGTAATTAGATTGATGAGTAGAAAAATAAATGGGTAGATAAGGATAAATAATTTTATTTTTGTGGATAACTATGTCATTTACCCTTCAACAAATGGGAGGGCCCAACCTTGGATGGATTGGCCCAATTCATTACTCTAGCAAATCTTCCTTCCATAATTATAGGATATCTTGGTCAAACCTTGTACATATTACATTTCCTTCCTTCCAAAGGTTTCAGATTGCTCATTCAATATCTGTGTATCTGATTTTCATACGTAATTTCCTTCTTTCCATATATGTCTTGGATCTTCAATGAATGTAACCCTTCTATTCAAAAACCTTTCAATTTGGGCAAAATCTGTCCAAAAATGTATATTTACCACTACAAGTAAATGTTCTTTGATCAATATTAAATATTGACTATGTCGGCTTGCCATTATTAAAGTTAATTTGTGAAACTATTAATCTAACCGAGATGATGGACTTTCCATGGATTTTTTCCCCCATGGATTTCTTTGATTCCAAAAAGTTGTGGATTTTAACACCGGCAATGCACATTTATTAGCAGAATAGCCATACCATGTCTACAACTCTATTCGGAAAAAAATTTGCCTACATTTGATGCATACACCAATTTATATGTGATAAATTAAAATAAATTATATATATTACTTATCTAAGGTTCAGTGATAAACCTTTATGTAAAAGACTCATGGAAAATTAATGTTAATAAAACACAAAAAACCAGCAGGTTATACGAGAGACCACCAAGCCTAGCATTATATTGTAACAGCCCACCCCGCTAGTGATATTGTCCGTTCTGGGCTTAGGCCTTCACGAGTTTAAAACGCATCACTAGGGTTTAAAGCTTGTTAACTTATATACCCACCATCCCTCTTGTGTTTTGCCGATGTGAGACTCTATCTGAAGTCTGGGGTGTTACATACACCCCCTCTTATGGATTCAGCATCCTCGTTGAGGTTTGCCCCACCGCATGGGATTCACCTAGACTCAACACTGAGGTTTGCCCCGCCTAACCGGGATTTGCCTAAACTCAGTTGAACTCTGACCCACCATCGACATGGCTGACACAAGAGTGGCCCTGATACCATATGTAACAGCCCAGCCCGCTAGTGATATTGTCCGCTATGGGCCTAGACCCTCACAGGTTTAAAATGTGTCACTAAGGTCTAAGGCTTGTTAACTTATATACTCAGCTTCCCTCTTATGTTTTGTCGATATGGGACTCTATCTAAAGTGTGGGGTGTTACATATATTTTGCTCGATAAGATGGCAGAAATAGTTGATGGCGATGATAGAATACCAGAGTTGCCTATGCACATCATTCATCGCATCTTACACGAGGTGCTTAATTGGAAAAGCCTTTAGTTCGAGTGTCTAAATAAAGAGTGTGTTTGGTATAACGAAAAATATTTTTCAAGAAAATATTTTTTTGGAAAACAAGTAGTAATCTTATTCATTTTTCGGTGTTTGGTACGCAAATTAAGGAAAATAACTTCTAAATAGTACTCATAAATGATAATTTAGATACAATAAATATGAAGCCATAAACTTTCGAACCAACAACCTTCCGAACCCACAAATTTCATAAACTTCTTAACCGCTAAACTTTTGAACCCGTAAACTCTATAATTTTAAACCCGCAAACTTCCAAACATATAAGCTTCTGAACTCATAACTTTGGAACTCGTAAAATTTTGAACCTGTAAACTGAAAAATAAAAAAACCAGAACTTAAAATATATATAAAAAGATATATTTTTCTAACTTTTCGAAGGGAAGTCATTTTACTTTAATTTTTCAAATTATTTTATGCAACCAACCAATAAAAAATAGAAAAATATTTTCCGTCGTACCAAACACACCCGAAATATACCGACAAGATTAAGGGGTTGTATGCATTATGAAAACTTAATATATCAATATTTTCCATCTATTTCAAGCACTAATCTTTCGTAAAAGTTTTGCTCTCTTTATATTAAATTAATAAATGCAAAAAAAAATATAAATATATGGTATATATATTCGCACTTTAATTTGTGTCTCTGTTTAAGAAGGAAAGGAAAGTTGTGACCAAAACCAAATCTCAATAGGAATGGGAAGTGAAACCCTAATACCTTATTTCTTATAGTAGATCTAGTAAAGCAATGGAAGAATGGTGTACGACACCACCAAGAAAAGCAAAACCTAGAAAATTGCTTGAGATTGCAGAAACAGTTCATGGCGAGGATAGAATGTCAGAGTTACCGGTGCATATCATTCATCACATCGTATGCAACACTAGCCTTAATCTGGACGAGGCGGCTCGAACTTGTGTCTTATCCAAGAGATGGTACTATTGTTGGATTTCGAGACCTCATCTTGAATTCAGTCAATTATCAGGCAACGTTCATATGACTCTGGAAAAGTTTGTCACCTTGGTAGATGAATCCTTACAATTCCACGTTGAACAAAAAATACGTCTTGAAGAATTCATCCTTACATATCATGATCCAAATTTAGCTTCTCCTACGGATGGTTGGATTGAATTGGTGGTTAAACATAACGTCAAGGTGCTGGGGATTCACGTTTCAGGTTCAGAATCACCGTACTATATTTTACCTGATGTTATTTATGCTGCTAAAGAGCTAGCAAAATTGGGACTAAGCAGGTGCAAGTTTGAATTTGATATTAGCAACACTAACATAAGATTCTGTTGTCTTAAGGATCTTTTTCTGTATAATGTCCATATTTCAGATGGACAATTGCAAAGAGTAATCGATACATGCCCGTTTATCAGGAATCTAACCATATTGGATTGCGATGGTATAAGCAAATTGCATGCTTTTGGCCTCGTACATCTGGAGATTTTGGCTGTTGCATCGTGCAAACTCGAAAGTGTGATAGTCCAGGCTCCAAATCTTCGAGACTATGGATATGCAGGGGTGCATTCAATCGACGACATTTTTCTTCCTTGCAAAATTGCAATTTTGGATGCTTACAATACTTTACAAATACTCACACTCACTGGCGCAAGCATCACAGACCAACAGTTTGATGATGTATTCTCTAAGTTCGCCAACATTTCAGAATTGTCTCTAATAAAATGCTATATGCTGAAAAATCTAAAAATTGTGAGTGGAAAACTCAAGAAATTCACTTTAACACAATGGAGGAATCTGAAAAAAGCTACAATTCAGGCTCCAAATTTATTAGAATTCTATTTTGATGGCGATAAAATGCCCTTCTCATCTATGAATCCTTCTTCCCTCGAAAGAGCCAGGCTAGATTTTGTCTTGCCTGACACAGTAATATCAAATTTTGGAGATGTGGACAGGAGTTGGTACACAAACCTTCATCTCTTTGTTCAAAAGTTCAACTATTCTAAAGGTTTGATATTTGCAATATCTTGCCACAAGGTAATTAAGAGTACTTCTCATTCTTTTTTGACTTACTTGATTTATGCATTACTTCTTTAATTTGGTTTAAGCTATGTCATTGACAAAATTGTTGCAGATTAAAAGCATCCTTATATATGAAATCCAAGAGAAATTGTTATTCCCCCGAGTCATGATGTCAAGATAAACATTATACCTATGCTGCAAATTGAATCACTCGTATATCATTTGATGTTCATCCGTCCCAAGATCATGTCCATACTTCCATGCGCAAATAGCAAAGTACTCCAGGTAATTTCTTGCTCTACCTGAAAATTCTTTCAAAGATCGCCTCTTGTACTTGTAGATACTGAGACATTAGAGTTTATAATATGCTGGAAGTTCATACACATGTGCTCCAATCTCCAGTATATTATGCTGTAACTTTCCGTGTGCTGGAGTTCCAGCATAATATGCTGGAAGTTCATACACATGTGCTCCAATCTCCAGTATATTATGCTGTAACTTTCCGTGTGCTGGAGTTCCAGCATAATATGCTGGAAGTTCATACACAGGTGCACCAATCTCCAGTATATTATGCTGTAACTTTCCGTGTGCTGGAGTTCCAGCATAATATGCTGGAAGTTCATACACAGGTGCACCAATCTCCAGTATAATATGCTGAAACTTTTCGTGTTGCAGCAAAATAGTGACTATTTTTCAATGACTTTGTAAACGCTGGCTATTTTTTAATTACCAGTCCGAAAACTAGCTAGCCGTACTATTTTCACAAATTTTAGCCTATGTCAACCCAAGTAACTTTTGGGCGGGTTGGTGACCTGCTCATTTTTTGACTCGGTCTATTTTGACCCTCCCAAAATCAGCCCAACCCGCCCATATGACACATGTAGGATTAATCATGTAATAGCTATTTGCTTTAGGTTGATTTGCTTGTCTCATAATCATTAGTGTATTCTCTCGGTCTTATGTTTTTGTTTTAATACAGTTGCTGTCTTCATTAAAAGGGTGTCTACTGAAGGAAAATTCTGGTAAAAAATGTGCATTCAATACCGAGCTTTTCAACTGGTATCATGAATTAAAAGAAGTAATCAATCTTACTGAGGCAATTGAGGAGGAAATGGGCACCATTTGGTATTCCTGGTTGAAATCCACATCTCTGATTGACCAAGTGACTAATTTCATGTTCAAATGGGAAGAGTAGAGGTGAATTCAGCATTTAGAGTTCAACCTGAAAGCGGTAAGTTCAGTTGAACACATTCTTTTCGTTTACACGAACATTAACAACATGCTGGAATTTTGAAAACAGTGTTGAGCTTTATAAGATATTTGTTGCTCCTTGTGCAGAACAACCTTTATATCCATAACATTATCATGGAAGATCCATATATAGCCCAAACAAGATCATAGCACTAGGTCCGTGGAAAAGTTTGTCAATTTGGTGAATCGATCCCTACAACACCATGTCCAACAAAACTTACGTCTTGAAGAATTCATCCTTACATATGATGATCCAAAATTGGCTTCTCGTATGGATCGTTGGATTGATTTGGCAGTTAAGCTTAATGTCAAAGTGATGAAAATTCAAACTTTGCTATAAAAGTTTGGTTTTTATAGTGAATGACTATTATATAAGGATGTTGTTATAAAAAAGTGTGACTGTATGAGTTAAATCCAAGAAGTAAACATGCAAAAGCCATTTGCTTTCTTGTTTTTTTTTGGGTTTAAAAGAATACTTCTATTAGTTAAAGATGCATTAGAGGGAGTTGTATTAGTGTAGCAGAATTACAAACAAACGGAACTTGACTACTATTAGTACTATGTATCCTAGTTAGTTGACTAATACAGTTGGCCCGACTAGACGAAGCAGTATCGAACGGTACACAAAAGGATTTGGAGTTAGCTTGCACTGGAAAGTGACTACTACTATGTCTGCTTCTTAGATATCACAGCTTGTACGTTTGCCATACAAAAGTAGTCAGCTTCTACGTTTGCCATAACAAAAGTAGTGGTTGCGCCAAAAAGGTGATATTACTTCCCATTAGTTCCATTCCAAAATGAGCTAGCTGGTCTGTTACTGTGTTTTGCTCCCTATAAGCATGTGTCACTGGTGGATCACTGAGCTGGTGGATCAGGTATCTGCAATCATTAAGCACATGTGAGTAAATGATAGAGGGGCTATGTAGCATGGTAACTACTTCCGCAACGTTCATATTGATTTTCAGCGGTGTAAGCTTATGAACTAAAGCTAGTTGTAATCCTTGCAACAAGGCCATTGTTTCAATGTGGACAATCGAAGTTGCTTCTATGTTCCCCGCATATCCCATTACCCAGTTCCCTTGTAATCCCTTATAACTCCACCAAAACCTGTGAGTGGGTTAGACAATCGCATTGCCCCATCTGTGTTAAGCTTAAAGACGCGTTGTGTTGGTGGTTCCCATTTTAGATGTAAGGGAATTATGGATTTTCTGGCATTGTTGGCATTTGTGAGATAGTGAAATTCAGAGGCCATATGATATATAATCGATGTTTGGGGGATCTGTTTAACATTGTCAAAGTAGTTCTTATTGCGAGTAGTCCATAAGTGCCAAAGAATGAAAGGGACAATTGTATGATATGGTATAGATTTGAAATTATTCTGTTTGTGTAGCACAATAAGCTTTTTAAGCCAAACATAAGTTGGAGCCTCCTCATAACGAGTATGTTGTATTATAAAACCTAATTTCATATTAAACTAGCATTGTCTTGCATTGATGCATTTAAAGAAGATATGAGGAATAGATTCTTCCTCCTGGTGGCAAATGGTACAAGTATTGGACGTAAGTATCCCTAGCCTATGTAAGTATTGTTGGGTGGGTAAGCGGTTATGACTTAACAACCACAGAAAGATTCTGATTTTTGGCAATGCACGTTAGTGCCATATCCACCCATGATGATTTGAAAAGTCAGTAGGTTTGGTGTTTGCTTTATATCAAGAGCTAACTGAAGTGTGCCCCCAAATGATACGATCAGTTAGTGTGGGGTACGTGGGGAGGTAATACTGATTTATCCTTTGGAGGAGAGAAGCATGCAATTCCATGGATATTAGGTGGTTAGAGCTTCTAAGAGTATAGGGCGTTTGCTATAGACATTTGTTGTTCCTTATAAGGTAGTGGTCCTTGTATTAGGCTACCAATTTTAAGATTAGGAGCTAACCAATTATCAAACCAAAAGTTAACATGTGTTCCTCGTGTTATCTATATCTATATCTTATATCTAAACTACTGATGATTTTCATTTAGTTGATTATTTTTATGACACAAACAACATGCCAAAAAGTAGTGTAAAAGAGCATCTGCTACTAATATATTACTATTATTATTTACTAATTACTAACTAATAAGAGGGAAAGCAAGGAGCTCTCCGTCAACGTGCCTGCCTGGCAGAAGAGTATTTTTGAAATTACGAATTTTTTCAGGCTGAATTCGTTTTTTCATTGGTCCATATAAGGTGTTACTCTAGCTGTTTTGATTTTTATTTTATTGTGCAGACATTTTAGCCCTAAATATGTGGACCCCATCGAGACTTTCATTCACATCTTATTTTGTATTTTCTTTTTATATGTGGTCACAATGAGAGAACTATCTTCTCTCTAGGCTTCTCTTGCCTATTATAGCTACAAATAAATAGTCATCCGTTCATTTTTATTTGGCATGTATATTAAAAATAGATTTTTATTTTTACTTGTCATTTTACGCATATCAAGATAAGATAATTTTTTTTTGCTGTTATACCCACAATATTTATTACTCATTTCAAATCATTTTCTCAAATCCAATAAAATATGCATCAATTAATATGAGTATCATGATAAATTATACATTTCATTTATTATTTTTTAAGGGGCGTGAAAAATCAAAACATATTAAGTAAAAGTGAACGGAGGGAGTACTTAAAAAGTAATGATGGCAAGTATTTTTAAAAGTGTAGTCTCTCCGTTTCTATTCTAACTAATCTTTTTACATGCTACTATAATGTAATAAATACTAATGATTTTATTAGTGAAATAAATGATATGCTGGCAACTCATTTTTTACAAATTAACTAACTTTATTTGAAGAATTCACAAATTGTTTAGTATTTATTATTTTAATTAGTAACGTTGAATCATAAATGCAGCAAAAATCCATAATAAATTAAGAAACTAAACTTATAGATAGAAATTTCAAGGGAAACACATAAGTTGCCTGATCAATTAACACTAAAACGATTTAAAATTAAATTATGCATAAAACTTGTACTATGTAAATTTTTTCAACTGCTGCTCATAGAATTTTAAAAAGTGTAATCTTAGGAGTTGTTGGTTCACATAGTTATATGGAAATTATAGTGCATGACTAATAATATAGGGATTAAATAATAACGAGATTATTTAGTGAATATATTTTTATTAGTAGATGTCATTATCCTATTAGACTAAAAATGAAATATTATCGTATATTTCAAACATGTGTTTGCTTTTATACTAGTTAATTTGAATAAACTCTTAACTTAAATTTTAACCTTGTTTTTAAAGAATTTTAAAAGAAAAACTTTGGAGAGGATAAATATATCATTTTGTTGTCATATCATGTGATTAACAATACCGAAATTCAAATTTCGACTAGGTCGCAACATAAGGTTATCCCAAGGATAACATAAGAAACACAAGGGCGTCCTACTTGAATTCTTTAGTTCAGGCGCTGACGAGCACAAAACACACACTTAAATTGTACTCGCTAGTCAAAGATAGTATAGTATGATATTGTCTCCACGTGGATTGGATTTAAACAATATTCTCGTTGTTTGTAGCTAGATTGCTATCCAGGAGAATCAATAATGGGGATTTATATAATTAATAATCTAAAATCAACAGCTATTGACTAATGACAATCGCAATAAAGGTAAGCAAGGAAGTTATCAATGGGAGAAAATATGGGTTGATAGGATAGGTGCAAGATAATTGTTCGGGATCTAACTCTAGATATTTCACTTCTAATGTTCAAGTGAGTCTCTCGAATTCACTTAATTATCAGTACAATTGTTTAATAGAAACTCCTCTCTTGATTAAGTCTCAATCTCACAATATGAACCAATTTTAGCGCGGTGAAGATATGCAAGAATTCGTAATGGATTGATCTTTAGGAGAACCTCTTTCAATTATCCTCCTAACTAGGTTTAATCAAGGATTCGACTAGCCTCTTTCGATTACTTTAAAGAATCTATGAACTCAACCAACAATATAGTGCAAATATATCACAAGTTATGCCTCTCTCGGTTACAAGAACAAGTGAGCATAGATGCAACAATTTAATTTTTCCAAAACGATTCAAATACATAAAAATAGAGTTATAATCCACAAACAACCATCAATACACCAAATCCATCAAAACCCAAAAGGTTCTACTCCTTAGACATGGAGAAGTTCTTCACAAATGAAATAAAAGTATAGAAAAACATAAATACAATCCAAACTCGGATCTTGAGTGAGGAAGGAAGGATGCAATCCTTGTGCTCTTGCTTCTCCTTCTTCTCCTTAGCTTTCTTAGGTCTAAGGTATGTCAAAAATCCTGAAAATGGTGTTTTCCTGTGTATTTAAGCCATCCCTCCGTTAAACCCCGGACGAAAATATCCTTTTTAGCGAAAATGGGACGATACTCTAAGAAATTTGTACTACCGTGCCACCCCATGCGGCGCGCTTGTGAGGAATCCCAGAACACTTCACAATTCAATTTTTGGGCATAAATTGCACTGCCGCCCCGCCCCATGTGGCGCGACAATGTAGTTTTCGTAGAGTAATTCATTTTTTCAGTTTTTTGACATTCGGACTTAGTACTCGACCCCCCAAACGCGATCCCAGTTTAATCCTTTGGGCTTCTACTTAGACTTCAAAGCTCCAAATAGCTCGAATTTACTGCGTAACATCTAAATAGCTCGAAATCACTCCTACACGGCGTAAAACACACAATAAATGCAAAACACGACTAATTAAAAGCTCAACATAAGTACAGTGGAGTGCATTAAAGTGCAATAAGGGACTAAAATACGGGATTATAGCCTACTATCAATACCCCACACTTAAACCGTTGTTCGTCCTCGAGCAATCAAACTACACTTCACATATACACGACTTTTTTAAATAACTCTCCTAACTCATCACACCAAGAATACCAGAATAGACTAAGCACAATACCGTAACATCCTCGCCTCAAGAGTTGACTCAACAACACCGCACATTTTTCACAACCTGCTCACTTACTCTAATATAGAGGTCAAAGACTTTACCTTACCTTCGTAAATTATATGTCCTCACACAAACAATAGAGAGTAGTTTCACACACAATAAAATTCAAGAACAGATAGGAACTCAAGATAGAAAGAATTAACTTACTCTCAGAAATGAAATTCATGCGCCACAAATAATGTACCATAAGCTTGCCCGTAGTGTACTACTCTACTAATTGAGCTCATTCAGTCAAGGATCAAGTAGGACTTTATTTGATTGTAGTGTAGGCTGCGGAACGGGAAAAATACATTTGGATATAATGACTACACCTCCCTAAGTACTTTAATACATATAATTGACCGTTCAAAGCCCCACATTTATGTCAAACCATAACTCCACCTTTACATCAATATACGTCAACTCCCAACTTCTTTAAATACAAATACATCAAGAGTTACCACTATCAAATAATATTTGCACAACAATGCAACTATATTTTTTTTTTCAAATCACGTGGCTCTTTTTTTTTTTTCAAAACAGTGCACCTTTATCCTTAATTCATTAGTTCAACTCAAAAGCCAACCAACACCCCATACTTTAACTTTTACAAAGTTCATAACAAATTCAAGTGCTCGCAAGAGGTAAAATGGGCAAGACTTGTAATGTGGTTGCCAAAGAAACAGGATTACAGGCTCAAGGGGTTAACTAAAAACATAACAATTAGTTGGGTACAACATATAACTGGCTCAACAAAGAAACGCCTATATCACTTCCAAGACTGAATAAAATTACTATTTCGCTTTGCAAACACACGGGGCAAGCTCTAGACATCAAATGCAATACACAGAATACACGAAACCTCACACACACATGGCACATAACTCACTTAGGATCAGACTCATCAAGACACTCTAATCAAAGCAGTTAAGCAAAGTCAAGATCATACAATTTAAGGTGCTTATACAAGAGTCATTAACTGAGCCTAAGCGTCACAACTAAAGCATTTACTATTCTCAAGGCATAATACAGTCAAGAGATATTGCTTTCATTTCAAATCACTGCACAAGGTTTCCTACTCCTAAAAAAAATAAAAAACTAACACACCCTGTTCAAACAAAACCCTTGAAAAAGAACCGTGACACAAA